GTATTTATACTGTATGTGTACTATACTATGTGTATGTGAATAAAATAAAAAAAATTTTTTAAAGAAAATGACTCTAAAGGAAAAGCAAGTCCTGAATAAAGGGTTGCTAACTGCAAAAAATGAAGATCTACCAGTGACAGCAAAGGAGCTAATTACTTTATATGTGTATGGTTGTCTGAGCTCTTTGTTATCATGTTAATGCTTTGCTTCTTTCTCGGGTATTAATGTAGCAAGGCAGAGAGTGACAACGTTGGCTAATATCAGCAAACCTTAAGAGATATACTGTATCCTCATAATTCACATTACTGAGTGTATTGACTTTGTTCTACTGTTACACACAGTTGAGTATTAGATATATACAGATATATCCAAAGCACAGCAATCTGTGGTGCTGCAAAATGAAGGGAAACTGAAAAATTGCAATTCCCTGAATTTTGTATTGTTGGAATTAAATAATGTGCAGTGCCTCAATAATGCTATGCTTTTTTAATAATAAGTGTTATAAAGTTATATAGTGTATTTTAAGCGGACACAGCCCTGAAAAATAAAGGCATGAGACCAGGTGTCCTTGGGAGTAGAAAGCTGCAGACTCTCGCTCATGTTTGCCTGTAGATAAGAGGGGACCATCTCTAGTGGAAAGTTACTGAGACACTGTTGTTTAGACTAGAATGAGAGAGCTTCTATAATAAAACTGTTAGGGGCACAGCAGCATTTTGGGATCGGCAGCGTGTCATGCAGGATGCATCTCCCTTCTAGAAGTAATAAAGTATTAAATGGTCTACTGAGCAGTGTTTCGTCTTCCATCGGATGCCTCTGAGGAATCAAAAGAACTCGGTGAAGTGTTGTTATTAACAGTGTACAACTAAATTTTCCTTTTAATTTAAATTGTGCTCAGGCAGTTGTGCTTTTAGGTGACATGTGGTTGTTGTTCAGTTTCATGTAGAATATCATTTGATCAATGTCTTTTCCCCCCCACTTGAATTAGCATCCCACTTGATCCTTGACCCTGGCATTCTTGAAAGACTTACTTGAGCCGACGTAAAGGTAAGTCCTGATGGTGTTGTACACGTCTCCCCTCACAAAGTCAGCAGTAGTGTAGTTGTATACCCCAAGGACTGAGACACTGAAACACAACAAATTTAAATCAGAACACAAAACAAAAAAACATATAAAGCAGGATTTAGTGCTGTAGTAAAACACACAGTTTTTGGAAGGCCAGGCAGGAGGTGCTGTTTATGACACTGGGACTGATCAGGCTCTTTGTGAGGAAGGGCAAGTAGTTCTTGAGGCGTTGGTCAAACCAAGCATCCACCTCCAACGTTTGGGTGCTGCTGAGGGCCATGGGCCAGACGCAGGGCAGGATGGAGCGCCTCACCGCTTCCGGCAGAGACTCCTGGAGGCAATGCACAGATTAATGTGTTTAATCATTGCATTGTGTTTGCATTTCTGCGTGTGCTTGTGCCTTGGGCTACGTACAGTTTCTAGAAACTGTGGTGTCTGGCTGTAGCTGTTGAAGAGCATGCAGAGCTGTGCGTTGTTGTCGACAACATTAGGACGTCGTAGGTAATCCCCAAGCTCCGATGGAGGTGGAATTCATGATCTAGAAGATTAGAAGACATAAATTAAGACATTCCCCTCTTGCTTTATCATATTTACTCCTGATATCTTTCAAGTCAACACACCAGACTCATTCTGTCAGGAGGCATGAGCGACAGGAAGGCGGTGAGGTTGGGAAACTGGAAACCCATGAAAGATTGCTCCAGGAAACCATAGAAACTGGTGTTGTAGCTGTCACTGTAGCAGCGGAGAGGTGTTGGACCTAGAGGAAAAGGTGGAGACACAAACTAGGTTATAATATTGGAACTTTGCCTCATGCTTTGTTAAGCCATCTGGAATAAAATAAATAAAGTTTTACTTGTTGTTGTATTCACATAAAATGTGACAAACATACATGTTTAATGAAAAAATAACAAGAGCGAGCATAGGAGAAAACTCAATGTCTGACTCCTCTCTCACTTTCACAAGGCTGGCAGCCATTATGTTAAGAAATGTGAATGGGCTACTCGCTTACAGGAATGTTACAGCCCAATTTCATAAAGCATCCAACAAAAAAAATTAAAGCTGAGTTTACTGGTTTCCTGGGTTAGCTTTACCTCCGAGGGTCTGGAGGATTTGATCATAGATTTTCTGCTGTGTGTCTGTGCTGAGCGTTGAGATAGTCATGTTCAGGTTCAGTAAACTGAAACAAAAAAATGCAAAGGTTTATTTCCAGTCAGATTGCTTAAATACTTCCATATATGGTGCTTGAAGCTTTGCGCTCACCCCAGCTGCTCAATGCTGCAGCTCCGTCCTGCCAGTATTCCAAAGTAAGGTGCAACTTGTCCTGGTGAAAGTTGTACCAGCAGGGGTGGCAGCCGGGAGGTAAGCCACACCTCTACGTCCGCATCACTCATCGAAGGAAGGGAGAGGTTTGCACGATCAAACACAACTTGCAACATGGCTGACCTCACGACTGAAGGCAATGCTACTTCAGGAGCCTGTAGAAAAAACCAAAAGTAATAATCATGTTTTTTAGATGTAACAGGTGTAACAGGACCTTCTTCAACTTCTGTGTGAGAAGACTAACCAGAAAAATGTTAGAGTTTACCATCATTGCAAACATAAACACAAAACGTATGAATGTTTTACATGTGATGAACAGATAAACTCAGCTTGACTTGACCTCTAGTATCAACAAAACACACCAGGTGACTTTATAACACGATGTATGCTCACCAGGAGAACAGATGAGAAATCATCAAAGAAGGCAGCCAGAGACTGGTCAGGCACATATTTCATCACCATGTTGACTTGCTCAGAAGTTGTGAGCTGTCCAGGTGTTGTGGACACCTCGGCTAGCTGTCTGACCGTGAGCTGTGACAAGGCTTCCATCTGCATATGAAAACACACATGTTGTCAGTGACAGTTGTGGTTATCACAGAGGGAAACCCCACCCCACAAGAAAACAGATGTAAAGACAGAAAATGCAGTGCATCATAACGCACCACTGAGAAGTTGGAGTAGATCGTCTGAATGTCCTGGAACGTCGCAAGATAGGCAAAACCTCCCATGTTCACCTGCAGCCATTGTGCACTGGTGGCAATGCCTGAGCTGCAGGCGGGGTCTGAACCACAAACACACACAGAGGAAATTCAGCTTTATTGTGCTGAAGGAAAAGCATCTATCATACATTGTTATGTCACTTTGCAATACACGTGACCACCCTGGATTACTGTATTCCTGAATCCCACCAATTCTACCAACATGTGTGAATGTTGGATTAATTCAGATGTGACGTGAACAATACATAGACTGTAACTGTTAATAGGCTGCCATTGATTGTTACTGGGCTGTAATACAGCAGTGTACCTGTGCTGTTGTTCCTGGTCAGGAAAACCTTAATGAAGTGCGTGTAGACAGACATCTGCCTGGCAAACGTCAATTGTGGCCGGAGTTGACTCAAAATCTGCAGACTGAATTGAAATTGGGATTAGATTAATTAAAAAATGGCAGGCTTTTGGTATACCAAGAAAGGCAGTCACATTTGATGTAATTTGTATGGTCTAATTTCTTACATGGCCTGGTAGGAGCTGCAGGTCAGGTTCTTTGTGGAGATACATGAAAGGAAGTCAGGTGAAACAGCTGGCAGAAATGGGAGAAGGCGGCGGCCAAACCACGTCTGGATGAAGGCTGGATCATTGAGGGTGGCCATGCTGACAGTATCTATTCGGAGTTCTTGTATGGTGTCCAGAATCACGGACACTGCTGGGTTGTTGGCGTCCAGAGTCTATAACAAAGATCAAAATGTGATGTAACTACTGACTTTTCTTATCTTTCAACAACAGACGGTTTGCAGAAGGTTCTTCTCGTCTTACAAAATATTATGTAATGCTTTCATACCGTGTTGACGAGCAGATCCAGAGCCTGGTCCAGGACCTGAGAGGTTTCGGAGAGGACAAGTTTCCAGACAGATTTGGACCCACTCGAGCTGGAGTAGCGGTTGCACTTCAGTATCATTGCCAGCTGTTCTGCTGTTATTGTTGACAGCTGCGTGACGACAGAGAGCAGTTTAGACTGTACAGTGAAAGTGAAAACGAGCTGAATCACAGACGGCTGTTGACTTATGTGACGCTTTTTTCTTTTTGCTTGGTCAGGCCTCTTCCGGGAGAAAAGGAGGCCCTCAGGCCTCCGGCCTCTGGGCCCGGCTCGGTTCACTCACACTCAAACCTTTTGAATACAAGCGCGCTGATCCACACAGGTGTTCACTGTTCATAGACATAAACTACACCTTTATTGGCTGCTACTTCCAAGCACATTGTGCGCTGTCGGTCCTGCTTGCTACACAACAACATTCAATATTTAGTATTTACTGCTGTTTACACTTAGCTAGATTAACGTGATGGTGTTGTGTTTAGTATGTTGCTCTGTTTTTTTGCTTGTTTTCTCTTCTTTTTCTCTCAACAGGTGATCCAGGAGATTTTTTTTCTCTTCTTTCTCTTTTTAAGTGCCCTTTCTCACTGTCCCTCTTCCCTTCTGTTTTTCTTTTCCTTCATCTTTCTTTCTCCCTTTCCTATCCCTCAGTCATGTCTGTCCCGTCTGTAACAACTGAAAATAAAATAAAATAAATAATAACAACAAAGGTCGATCAAATGGACCAATACGGCAAGGCCGTGATGATCCATTTGGCAAAGTAAATCCATTGGGTATCCTTGTTGGTCTTCAGACAACAATTCTGACGGCTAAAGAACCAAATGGGACAGGCAAAAAAATAAATAAATAAATAAATTAAAAAAGATTATGTGACGCTCTTACCGAGGCACAAGCCAGTTGCTCAACGGCCAAGTCACAGAGGTTTCCACTCGTCTGTGCACTGGTGAGTTGGAGCTGGACTGCTGTTCTGTGGTTTCAAAATAAAACATGTGATTGGTACTTTGTTGACATCTGGGACAACGTTGCATAAAAAGTAAACTCTCCAACAGGTTCGTGTAAATCCTACCTGTTCAAACCGATACAGATTTCCGTTTCTGTACCAAAAAAGGAGAAAAAAAGTTATAAATTGACAATAAAAAAAATTGCATTTTTATGCATAAAGAAGTGGAGAACTTACCATTTGCCGTGCTGACATTACACTTGTAAGAGAAACAAACACAGAGCACATTACAAATCGACTATATTAAGACTAATGTAAGACAAAACAAATAATCTAAAACATACAATTACCTCTCCAATGATGCAGTCTGAAATAAAAACACAGGAAATGCAAATCAGTTTAATGTATTTAAAAAAAAATCAGTTCAGTAATAAGCTACAGTTAGACTGGATGTTATTCCTGACGCTTGCTGATTATTGACAATTTACATTTAGCGTGTCCATAGAGTAGGTGGTGTGTGGAATAAGATGAAACAGTGAAGAGACAAAGCTGGATATAAGACTTTGAGAATTAGTGTTCTAAATCTTTATGTTGATGTAACACTCACCAGGTGGTAGTTGGTGGGATAGAGCCTCTTTAGTCTGTGTGATAGTTGCAACAAGGCCAAGAGAAACCACAGGTATGGCCAAGTCCAGTCTGGCAAACCTGTAACATGTAAACACACAGATTTTAATCATAGTGCCAGATTATATAAAATAGTTTAACCACTTCAAAAGTGCCGAATATAAGTAGATGTGAAACTCACAGCGTTTTGTATGAAGAGCAAGTGAAGTTTTCCTTGGAGGAGAAAGAAAGCAAACATCATTCATTACTTTAACAAGCACAGGAAAGTAAAAATGATGACTTAACAGGAAGGCAGTTGCTCTTTTTACCGGGTGAATGAACACGGTGAGGTTGGTCAGGAACTCTGTGAATTTATTCTTTTCAGCAGACACGGTCAGGTAGTCAAAGAGCGCGTTGATGATGACAGCTTTGTCCGGCAGATTTGGAAGCGACAGCGACAGCAGCTCTGCGCTCTGTTGTGCAGTCAGGAGTGTCAAGACTTCAATCTAAAAGGAAATATGGAACAAGTGAGAGTTATTTCTATTAGTTCCCAGCTTTGTTTGTTTGTTTGTATTTTTTAAAATCACGTCAATTAACCGAAGTCCCATCTCACAGGGTTGAATTGTGGGTTGAGATGGATCAGCTCAGTGAGCGACAGAAGTGCTGAAAATGGACCGAAATTCTGCTGTATCCACACTGCAGTGCTGTTGGAGGTGGACACACAGCTGGAATCTAGAAGAAGTTTTTAAAAAGTAGAAATAACTGTAAATGATTGATTTTTAATTTTATTTTTTTAGTTGTTAAATTAAAATACGAAGCATGCGCGTACCTGAGCGTGGCTGCGTCAGGAACTGCAGTATGAAATCCTGCAAGACCAACTGCTGCTGGTTTGAGGTCATCTGGTTAAACTGGCTGATAAACGTCTGCAGTCTGAAAATGAAATCACGGCAAAAAGAAAAAAGAAAAAAGAAGAGAACTAAATAACCAATAACATTTTGTAACTGAAAAACAAATTTATATTTGTACTGCATGGATATAACAGAGAACCCTTTGGATTTTTGACTAAACCAACCGTTGTTGTATTGTTGTATTTCGACTCTTGATTTAGTCTCATCTGCGTGCCTTCTACACTTCCTGTCCTACGTGTCTTTTTGTTCTTGATGTTACAGCGAAGGTTGGTTTACTTTCATGCCATGTGCCAGCTTTACTGACTTGTTTGTGATTTTCCAGACTGTTTTCATCTGATAATGAATCGTTATTATCGCTTCCTTACATTTACGACTGATTTTTTTTAATGTAATTACTCATCTTAAATATGAAAAATAGCAAACTAACAGCTAACTGAGATTTCATTGTAAGTAAAACTGTGAACTTTTGCAGATTAATTCTCTCTGCCATGCCCTTTGCGTCTTTCTTTAACAACTCCACACTCCATTCACTGACAGTTTTTTTTTTATTAATGGATACGACACGAAATATTCTAGACCTGAATGAAGTTCAGATCAAATTTAGAAATATTAATTGCAGAAATCCTCTGAAGGGTTCATCTTCACAGATGAATCTTGGAAATCAAAACGTGAACTGTGAACCACACTGGATGCATGCTGTTGGGATTGTGCAGCAGCAATTCTGACAAATACTCACATTTCCTGGTATGACTGACAGGTCAGGTTTGTGCTGCTGAGACAGCGCAGAAACATTCCTGATGCGTAAGGCAAGAAGCTCCTCAGGCGGCCTGAGAACCACAACCTGATAACTTCGCTGTTCTGCAGCTGCTCATCTGTCAGCAGCGACACTCTGATCTCTCCAATCACATCCAAAACCTGTGGCGCTGATGGAATCACGGGCATCGGCTAAACAAGAGATAATTGAGTTATTTGAGGCGGATTAACTTTTCCCCAGGTCACAATTCTTGTAACTTAGTGTTTGAATGATTCATTTCATGAATCCTTATTTGTTTGTTAAAGCTTATTAAAGTCATTAACCATGTTAGCCAGGATGTCCAGGGCTGGGTTTAAAACATCGGAGACTTTAGTGAGCAGGATTTTCCACAGAGTTTTGGAGTGGGCGCTGTTCCCAGAAAGATTACACATCAGAAGAGATGCCAGTTGATTGGCTGTGAAGTTGTCCAGCTGGATGTGTGAAAGAGACAGAGGGCGTGTAGTTATTCTCTGCAATAAACAGTAATGAGTCCTCACCGGCTCTGTTAAAGTAAATCATTACCTGTGCACAGGCATATTCCTCCAAGGGGACGTTGCAGGGAACTTGATTAAAGGTGTCCAAGTAAGACAGCAGATCAGAGCTTTGGGTCACACAAGACAGGAAATACACGTCAGAATAGAAAACAACTGCAGTAGCATTGCTTACTATGTAAATCCTATTAAAAGGGTTACCTGTTGACTCCTGCACAGCTCTGAGTTTCTGTCAAAAAACAGAAAATTATTTCTTTTCAGAAATCACACAAACAGAATGTATTAGTGTTTACGCTGGCAACAGTCAAAAAAAGTCTTACCATTGAGCGGGATTACCGGGCACTGTAAAAGACGGGATTAACAAATTAAAACAATGATTGAAATATTATTCAAACCGTTGTGACAACCACAGCTTAAAAGCATTCAAATTAAGATGTGATATGAGCAGAAAAGACAACAGTTGTTGTGATTTGTTAGGATTTAAACTAAATTGTATAGAAGAAAAAATCTCACCCTGAGGTTCGCCGGCACGCACTCTGTCCAAATCAGAAAATAAAAAATATTCAGTCAGCAAAAGCACAGGTTTAGGTCTACTTACATGGACTAGCTTAAGCCATTACATTGTGCACTCAGTCGTTTTTTGTCTTTGTGTTTGTGAGGCAGTGAAACGTACCGACAGGTGCAATGTTTATCAGGGCTTCTATAGTGGCCCAGGTGACTGGTTCCATTTCTGGAGGCAGAGATGGTATGGCTGCATAGAGCTGTGTAAAGCTGGAATACAAAAGAACACAAAACAAAACACATACGTAAATAAAGAGTATATAGAGAGCTACCCAATCAGACCTTCAGACCTTGTTTTTGTGATGTCCACTATTGAAAGCTGAAATTAAATCTGCATTAAAAATGACTACCTGTCATGTAATTAATTTTCAACATTATCCTGTATTAATCCAGTTAATAAGCTATATTAATGCCACAATGTATATTGTAATCTCCTTTCTTTCTCTTTCTGTTTTTATTTCTGAATTAATAATAGCCCTGCGACAGACTGGCGACCTGTCCAGGGTGTACCCCGCCTTTCGCCCTATGACAGCTGGGATAGGCTCCAGCGCCCCTCGCGACCCTGAAAAGGATAAGCGGAAGCGAATGGATGGATGGATGGATGGAATTAATAATAGCAATAGCAGTGGTTCAGTTTTAGCCATTAATGCATTGCTACGAAGCCTTAGCTTGAACATGGTTGCAGGTATAGTCTGCAGTGAGAGAGTTCTCCTGATTCACTGAACAAAACAGCTTGGAAAGAATTGTGAGGCTCATTTAGTCAGAAAACCGGTTAAAGTTACTCACATTTGTTTGTAGATGTCGCAGGAAGGATTGATCTGAAAAATTGCATATTTTATGATTAATATTTGAGAAAGGCTAAAGCGTGCGCAACACCTATCACAGCAAAATCTCCAGTGTTAAATTAACACTAGAGAGTGTCTATATGGGTCCACACCTCTGAGTGTTAAATACAACACTGTTGAGTGTTAAATTAACACTTTTGACAGTGTTATATGTTTAAAAGTAACCTAGTCAGTTTTGAAGATTAACAATGACTAACACCGAGCAGTGCTGATGTTCTAACACTGGAAAATAACTCAAAATGTTAGAAATATTCCAGTACACTCTCTAGTGTTAATTTAACACGGGAGATTTTGCTGTGTACACATCTCAGCCAAAGCTGTTACCTCTCCAGCGAGCCTGACCAAAGCGCTGAGGACCTCTGGGTACTTCCTGGCTGCAGGTGACTCCGTCAGGAAGTTAAACACTTGGCTGATGACAACGTCTTTCTCTGGTGGAGTTGGGAGAGTCAACAGCAGTAACTCTACCGTCTGATTTGGAGTCAGGAGGTCAAGAGCCTCCAGCTGAGCGGGTTACAAAGCAGAAGAGGAGAGCACAATTACTGTATAGTAAAATTACTGCTTCTGTTAAGTCTGAGCACATCTGTGTTTTGCAAACTTACTCCAGAGAAATAAGGGTTGAGTGTGTAGAAGTCGAAGATAGAGGCAAAGCTCGAGAAGAAACCAAAGTTGAGTTGCAGCCATTCTGCGCTGTTATTAACTGCAGAGACACACTGGGGGTCTGAAGCATTTGTACAAACATTAACATAAATGCCAAAGGAACTGGTTTTGTAGTATCTGTGTGTTAATCTGTGTTGTCTGTGTCCTCTTCTTACCCGAGGTGTTGTGATTTAGCAGGAAGGGGTAGATGAAGTACTCGTAGATGTTGCTGCTGTACATCGGATCAGCATCCAAAAAGTTCATGCGTTCACTGAGCGCCGCCACACTGCACACAGCAGGGCAAAGACAAAGTGAGAACGACTGCACCAAACCACGTTCTCGTTAAATGAAAGAGAAATGAAAACGGTTGACTCACAGGGTTTGGTAAACGGGGCAAGAAAAGTTCTTGGTGCTGAGGCAGGAGAGGAGCTCTGGCTGTACGTCGGGCAGGAGGGGCAGCAGCTTGACCTTGAACCAGAGCTGGATGAAAGCTGGGTCCGTCAGGTGCTCCTGGGTCAGAGTTGCTGAGTTTGACTCGCTGAAGATCTGCTTAAACTCGGATTCCAACTGCGTGAAGTTCTACAGAGGATGAAGAACGAGGAAACATTGATTTGCTGAAGCTGCAATGTGTGTAGTGAAAACACAAGCCTATGAAAGCAATGTTGTGAAGCTATAAGTCACCGTGGAGCTGTTGGACAGTACTCACTGCTGTGGAGAGCTCCTTGATCAGCAAGTTCAGACGTTGAGTCAGCTCTAGAACCAGCTTCAAGACGACGGCTTCTGTCATGGTCAGGTTGTTACGAGCAGCGCAGTGCAAGACATGAGCCACGTTTGCCACCGCGTCGGTCAGCTGACGGCACGGAAAGAAAAATCATCGGCACAGAAATTAGAAAAACTTTTGACATTCAATTTTTTTTTTATATGTCAGGAATTTAAGTGAAGAATTCAAAACATTCGAGTGTCAATAATCAAAGGTAAATAAAACCTCACCCCGCAAGGGCTCTTATCGAGGGTGATGCTACAGACATCCTGGATTTCAATCACCGTCATGTTGTCCATACTGTTGTCCAGACGGCTGCACAAAAGTAAAGAACACACTTGAACACAAAAGACATAGTGATGCATCATCTTACAGCACAGCAACGTTCACACTGACCATGCTGGCAAACAGACACATTTTAAAAGGTGTTCTAGCACATGTGAAATTGACAAAAGTTCCTCAAAGAGTGACAAGTATGAAAGTTCTACAAGGAACGTAAAACTGCAAATTGTAACATTGACTTAGTGAATTTCTTCTGACCTTGAGTGACTATGAGATGCTCTTATATATATTTCTCCTCACATTTTGAAACCAGATAATTACTTAATTAGAAAAATAATCATTCCTAAATGGTGCTAAAGCCTCGTACTGCTAATTACTGTGGTATTTATTTAAAGATTTGTTTTAGTTGCAGACTGGCTTTCTAATACCACTCTTAGCTTAATTTCAGTCTGCACTAATACGTAAGAAGAAATTGAGCTTTTAAAAGCACAGCAAAGAGAATGGGGTCACTATACAGCATAGCAAACCAAAAACACAAGCTAAAACAGGCTTAACAGAGCGTTGCTGGATAGAGCTTTAGAGCCGCTGATGTGTCTACATAACTGATGCATTATTGATAGTTTTCCTATTTTCAATGGAAGCCATTAATGTAAATGAGGAATTCCGACTTACAACACTTCGTGGAAAGCGAGCGTGATGTTTTCATGCATCAGGAGTTCTTCATCGGGCAAAAACCTCCGTAACAGCGGCTTCACAACGTAATGATACCAGTCTACTACATTTGTCACATCAAACTTAGGTCCCTCTGGGACCTCAGGTGCGCCTGGCTGGTATTTGCCAGCCAGCTCAGAAAGAGTCCAGTTGAGCAGGAACTGGGTCAAAGTGGTGCTTCTTATATTTGACGGATTTCTCTGGAAAAAACAGGTCAGGGGTCATTTTTTCTAACTGGCTGTAGAGCTGTTTAGACAGCTTAGGGAGTGGCAACACATGAGTGTGCGCGTGTGTTTGTGTACCTCACGTGTGAAGGACACAAAATTATGAACAAAGCTCCCGATGGGTTTGAAGGCTGACATGAATCCATTTACGACCTGGATGTGCAATGAAGCAGAGGCTGTTAAATTTTACTGAATTAAATTTTTTATGAATATATTTTCTAGAGATGAAAACATCTTCAATTATTTTTGCAGGTGGATGCACACTCTGTTACTGTACCTGTTGGAGGCCTGGCTGATGTGACAGCTGTACTGGATAGGAGGGTGGGTACCCAGGGGTTGTCCAGTTGGGGCCCCATCCAGGGCCAGCAGTGGGTGATGGGCCAGATTCCCCTGTTAGCAGACTGTGGAAGACCAAGGCTAATGTGCCATTGTCTAAACTGGCAACATAAGGGCTCATGAGCAGCTCGGCCTTTTGTGCTGGAGACAACAAGTTAAGAACCTCCAGCTGTGAATGAAGAAAAAAAAGGAGTAAGAGAAGAAGAACAGGAAGAAGTGTGGAGCAGCGATATTTGTTGTGGTGGAGTTCTCTGTAGTGTCCAGATTGCCATAAAAACAGCTGTATAAAATTCATAAAATCTTAATTAAGGCTCAGTTTAACTCACTCCATTGAAGACCACATTGAGCTCTGAAAAGTCCTTCAAGCGGGCCATGACACTGAAGGCACCAAAGTTCTTCATCAGCCACTCCGCACTGCCCTCATCTGGCCTCACACAGCCTGCACACAGATCACACATTGACCGACTGTGTACATACTAGCAGTTAGCTCCAACATTTGAACAAACTGAAGCTTTAATTGTGACTTAATGAATTTCAGTCTGTCTGCAGACAAATGCAGATTGTCAAAGATAAAAACTGCAAACATATTTTAGTAAAACATAGCACTTGATTGGTTCTGATGCTTTATTGTCTAACATGAGAACTTTAAGATAAGATAAGATAAGATAAGATAGAACTTTATTAATCCCTCGGGTGGGTTCCTCTGGGAAATTCGATTTCCAAAAAAGCACAGCAACGACCGAAGTTACAGAGTTACAATCAACTTTGCTTCTTCTTTTAAATTAGATTTTATCCATTTTAAAAACCCAAATAACTTAATTAAGAACAAAACACATTATTAGCCCTAGCTGCACTTTGACCCTGTCCTCTGTTGTTTAATTTCTGGACAATGATTTTCCTCTTTATCACAGAAGAATGCAATCCCCACCCCATTCCCTGCTCAGTGTTCCCTGTCGGGGTTTTTGTGTGTGTGACTGCTCCAAATCTAGTAAGTTTGGTGCCTCCTTTTTTTTTTTATTAAAGCCTTTAAACACTTTAAAAGCTATTTCTATTTGTTTTTTCTGTCTACAAATGTTGTATAATACCTCAAAACCCACCAAATAAAGACCTCAAGAAAGAAACACAAGTTGTTGCAAGAGGCTTATTTGGACGTTATTATGCAAACAGGCTTTTTGCATGAATGACATTTATAACATCGTTGGCACCTTCAGTTAGTGACAGCTGCTAATTTGGTACAGAAACATTCAAAACTTTTGAGAAAACCTATTTATTTGTTGTTTTGAACACATCCACACACCCTTTAGCAAACCTCAGTAAATGATTAGATGCTTAGCTGTGTGCTGTGCTGTCTCCATGCCAGTACAAGCAAGAAGCAACTTTGTTGCTTGTGAAAGAGTTGTTGAGGGTCACATGATAATGAGAGACACTTCTAGAAAAAAGTTGTAGGAAATACCATTGCATGCCTTTGAGTTGTAAATATGTAAATATTAAGTTGATGTTAACATGTTTGATCTACAAAGACTGGCACTGTAACTTTCATGTAAAGGGCCACGGTGTGAGTGTCTGAAAGGCGATACAGATACATTTCATGGCACACGGTCATTTCCAAATCTGCTTGCAGTACTTTAACAGCTATTAGATAACACTTTGATAACCTGTGTAAGTACAATTTTGATAACACATGCACAATGCAGCGCTTTGGCCTATAGCAGCAGTTACGATAAATTAAGGTGTAGCTGGAATATGAACGTGAAACAGTTTCTATTTTTGACCTTAACTTGCAAAGAGTGATTAAATGCTAACCTCACAATACCGTGGGACATATTTGTACTGAAAGTAAAGTCTAGTTTATAGGAAGAAAAAGTTATTGGTATTAGACACGTTACCATCAACTGTTGCCGAAGACAGGAACGGGTACATAAAGAATGTGTAGATCCACTTTTGCCTGACTGGATCCATCTCAGAATAGTGTTGACTGAGCTCCTCCACTCTGCGAGGAGACGTGGGATGTTGGATTATTATACTAAAATCTCAAAATTACAGAAATAAAGATGAGGACAGTAAGAGGCCTACACAGTCTGGTAGGTGGAGCAGCTGAAGTTCCTGGTGCTGAGACAGGACAAGAACTGCTTGGTGATGGATTTCAGGAGCGGTTTCATGTTGACCTCCAACCACATCCTGACCAGATCTTGATTTTGTAGAGCGTCTGCAGTCAAGTCTAATTCCAGAGCACCCTCCACACTCAAAATTGGTCCTCTTGTCATGCTTGATTTCTGTGGCAACAGTGATGGAGAGGCTTTATTCTCACATGTTTCACCAATAAGCTACTCAGCATTCATCTGCTTACATGAAACCTACTGTCAACAGGATTTATAAGTTAGTGACCAACAAATAATGTCAGTGTTGTGACAGAATAAAAAAACAAACTTAGTCCATCCCTGACTGGTCATACTGGAATTTGTAACATCTGTTCTTCTGCTGAATGCTTGTTGAAGTCATACCATAAACGTGTACACATCCATTGTGGCTTCAAGAATTCCTTTCAGCTTTCGCATTTCATCTGCGCCCGTGTCTGTCGAAGGCAGGCCCACACACTGTAAGAAGTTCGAGGTGGCGTCTGGGACCTTGAAATTTATGACAAGTGGAAAAATTACTAAGATGGAAACCAAAAACAAAAATAAAATTTCAATAACTAAAAAGCAAAAGCAATGAGATTAATTGTGCCTGATTGTCTGATTGTGATTTATTACACTGATTGCCTGGTTGCATGATTAATAATTCCTCTCATATAGTTGTACATATGAATACTTTACTGATCCCGCAAAGGAAATTGCTGTATTATGGCAGCAGCATAAAGAATAACAATAAAAACATCATTGTTTAAAACACCACAGCACCACACTGAAGGCCTTATTATGTGAAATAACTGTTAAAATAAAAAATAATAAAATAAGACAATAAAAATGATCTGAATTATTAAAGCAAGATATATAAAGAGTTTGTTTTTAAATGTGACTATGTCAGAAGTCCTGAAGTTACTGTTGTCATTTAGTTTAAACAACAGGTTCACTCCATAGATGGCGCAGTTTTTATGGCAAGTGTATCTGATTTAGGTGTGCTGAATCTATGCTGATCGTTGTTATATACATATACACATATACAAATACAGCACTTAGTTTGTTTCCAGTTGCCCTGGGGAGATTTTGTTCAGATGCATATCTTAGCGAACTTTGGGCTGACACTACAAATCGGAACAATATTATGCTATGCTGTGAGATTTATGCCACTTGAATTAATTTCTAAACTGTCTCCTGTTCTTATAATAAGGTAGGTGTTGTTAATTTAGCTGCTAGCTAGCTAAATTAATCTTTTTACAACATTTGCTTAATGCTCTTAAAACAGGATATGTCACAAAATAAAAGTTATTAAAGTAGAAGTGATTTAATTCAGAAATAAAATGTATTCATAGATAACACAGAAAAATATTTTCAATATTAAAGAAAAATCTTTAATATTGAAAATATTTGTCATGAAACATAATCTTTCATCTTCTTAATGTGATAAAGCATTTCGCCATACTCGCGTCAAATACTGGGAAATCTATTGTTTGACATGTTTACCCACACCAGTGCACTACCCAGTGTTTTCACAGTCACTCTTCAAAAGTATTTAATCAAGCTCAGTGAAAAAAAACGATGTGAACAGGTCATGAGCTAATCTTGATCTTTTTGGTATGCGTTTTGGGCAGTTTGACAACTGTAGTCATAACAAGAATCTCATGACGGTACCTGTGATCTCACAACCACGCTAACAAAATAATATCCTAGCCATACTGACTGTTTGCATATATTCAAAGTCAGCTCAACATATGTTGCATGAAGAATAGAAAGCAATAACAATATGACGTTTGTACTTGTAGCTTTGTGTTGTGTTGTGCTACAGTTACACTAACCTGTGTGCAGGCATCTTTTGTGCATACTCCATTACTGCACGATCCACCAATTACAGAAAAGAAAGATTATACAGGTTATTGCATTTAGAAGAGTGTAAAATTTACAAGTGTAAATATTATGTCTGTTTCTGTGTCCTGATCTTACCTCTGTGCACTGGATCCTGCTGTTGGGATAAGACAGAGTTGCATGTTAGAGCTGAATCCTACCAATGCATTTCCCCAAAACTTGTTTAAGCAGCAGAGTTTGGAAATTATTTAAGTCCTATTTTTAATGCAAAATTAGCCAGGAAATAGCATACCAAATGTTTAAACTCTTTTCTTGTTTTTTAAATTGCTGATTTAAAGGCTGTGTGGGGCTAATTAGTGACATGATTTAGTATAAATGATTTGGTTTGAGTTTTTCAGAAGCATACAATCCACACCTCTCAGTTACAATTTTACACAAAGTCCCAGCTTGTTGTTTAATGAGGTTGTAGAAGGGCATCAAAAACCACCCGGATTTGTATATTTGTAATAGTAAAATGCTTTTTTTTCTCTCTTGAGTGTATATTATTAAAATGCTGATGCTAAAAAGAAGCTCCTATTCTATTCTAAGAGACTGGTTACAGAGAAGTGTTGAAACTGTCAACAATACTGGCATCATATACGGGAGAAGATGTCACAAAATGACCAAGAAGGTACACGTAGCTTTAAAATTGTGCTGCTGAAATAATATTTGGTCAAAATGTTTCTGGTTTTGTAATAACAATAATAATATTAATAATAATAATTTGGTTTCTGGACACCTTTCTAAAGCCCAAGGCCACCTTACAAAGCATAAAATATAAACAGTAAAAGGATAAAAACATTTTCTGTAAAACCAGTGGTAAGAATTGATTCTAAGAAATAACCTATTGTTATTTATCTGCTTAAGCCCGTTATTGTTGTCTAGAAACTACCTAAACACACCCATGAACCGCACCATTGTTGCACCATTTTGACTCATTTTCATTATTCATGGCTTAAATAAATACTGGTGTCATGAGAAAACAAATATGTATAAATCCACAGCTGAAAGTAGTCCTCATCAAAAGCATCAAAAGCAAAGTTGACAGTTACGAGAAGTTCATGAGCCACCTGAACACGAGTGGGTTTTTTAAAGAAAGAAGTATTAATATTATCTTATAAATATTAATACGTTAATTTTAGATGGTAGTATTTAAAGTGTATCATGTGTAAGTTTCTTAATCTACTGTCCAAGGCAAAATGGCCACTGGTCTTATGTGAGTGTCAGCAAAGCACATCAGCTGAGTACTTTCCCTCCACACTCTGGCAAGATTTTAATCAACATTAACTGAACCTGAGCTTGTGGGGATGAATGCAGATTTATTGTTCTAGTGCGTATTTACAGCAGCAGAGTAATGTTTGTGGGGCTACAATAGTCATGTTCCTTATGATTCATAGGTCATGGGAATAAAGGGACATGAAAATATCTCAACAACATTTGTAATGATGTGATTTTATTGTCAGTTTAGGAGATTTTTCCCCCAATCATGCCACCGGTCTTTCCTTTTAATGAGCTGCTGATTCTTATACATATATACATTAAACACACAAAACTTCCTCTTACCAAAGGAGCTCCCCAGTAGGTAAACCAATAGGAACAGGTAGCGAGCTCTCATAATGCAACCAGTCTCATGAGATGTGAGGGCTTTGTGTTGAAAATCACTGGGGAGAGAAGAAGAGAAAGCAGCTGACACAGTCATCCAGGCATTACAGGAACTACAGGCATCACATAACTAACAGGTGGATTAATGATCGGGATGTCAAAATAACTGGCACTCAGTATCAAAGTGCTATATATCACATCTTGGTCAGACATCATCAAATTAGGGGCGAACCGCTTGTGGCTCAAGCCATCTAAAGCTTTAAACATTATATAACCAATCTTTTTAGGCAAACAATGAAAAGTCAGTCTATTACTGACCTTTCACTCGAATGCCTGTGTGTTTAGTGGCTGAAAGGAATCAGGGAGTGGCTGTTAGATGTCTTACATACAGCCACCTAAAGTAACCCATAACAAAGTGACATTAAAGCATGATGGGAGAACTGAAGCATTAGTGGAAAGAATGCTGAAACCCTGCCTCACACGGCTTATAACAATGAAAACAAAGACAACCTTCACATAACCCTGCTCATAAACCACATTGCAAATTGTCATCACTAGTAGAGTGATTCCTTTAACAAACCTTCTAATTTTGACTTTTGTGGCACTTTCCTTCAGAAATGACCTAAAACTTTATCCAAATCTGCTGCTGCTGCTTTTCACAGAACTGTCCGTTTGTTTGAGTACAGTGAAATCACGCAATGCACTGATGACTTCATCGTTACGCTTGGCCGTGGACACCACTGTCACAATGTTAGGCACTTGCTTCTGTTCCTTGAGAAACATATAAAGAAGTACAAACATTCTCGCACGCAATATTGAGAGTCATGCTGGTATCTTGAAATGCTGCTCCTTTACACGTTAGTCACTCAAACCAAACATGGGCCTCCACCTACATGTCAATTCTTTTGTAAGGGGTTTGATATGGTGACCAAAAGCTTTATCAATATACATGTGATTACTTTATAAGGAGCAGCTTTGATCTGCATTTGGGAGGTTTGTTTGTTTCCACAAAGCGGCCACACACTCACAAAACATACAAAACCAACATGACTTATTTAGCTTTTTGAGTTTTTCCTCAACTGTTATTTTTTATTTTACAAGACTTTTGTAAAAAAAATTTAAAAAAGAGGTCAAATTAGATTTTTACTTATGCCACACACAATGACCATTTCTAATCCAGCAACAGTCAAAATGTAATCATTTACTAAAAGAAGAGAAAAACCTATAATGTTATAGATAAATTGTGCAGTTCTTATCATACAAATATTTTACACATCGGCTCCCCCCAAAACTCTCGCCCTGTTTATGCCTCGTCATATGTTGCAACAGCGAGAACAAATAATTATTTAAGGTTAAAATGTTTGCTCAGTATCAGTCCTCCTCCTCCTCGGCCCTTTGTACGCCTGTCGGATGAAAGACCAACACCACTGAGACACTTGCCATTTTCAAAGACAGAGATTAAGAGAAGAGGTGTGAACGTGTTGGAGAACTTTAGTACTTTTAATGCTGGTTACACAGCATAGCCAAATTTGCAAACATTTCAAAATAAACACATGTAATATATATATATAAAAAATGACATTTCAGAGTTGTTGTTTTTCTAAATGTTAGCTTGAGATATATAAAGCAAATAGTACTGCATTGTTACTGGCAGTCATCTGAACTGTCAGTTTGTGGAGAATAAAATAGAGAAGAAGAAAAGGTGAAAAAATAAAACAAGCCATCCCCGCTAAAGACGCCTTTTATGTTCGAGTAAAAATAAGTAAATATAAGAAGTACTTTATTTTTTATGCTTTACTTATAGACGTGTAATAACTTGTACCATTTGCTGTATGCACTTTGAATTTAATATTTTCCTGCTTCTGTGTTTAAAGATTTTTCAGTGTAGTATATTTTCTTATGAACAAGAGTAAAATATTTTGATCTCCTTTAGAAAGTCATATTTTTTATTGGTACCACTGTAAAGGGCACAGTGATGCCATTTCTTCGAGGATAACACACCAACCTGAAGACTCTTGGTTTAATAAGGTAGCTGTTATTCCCATGCATGCAATCCGCAAATAGCGCGTTGTCACTGGAGGTAAACCCTCGCAGGGCAAGAAAGACCAAATTATTATGAGCTGAAGGGATTTTCTGCTTTGTCTGCGTCTGTTTGCTACTGAATAACAAGCCTACATGCAGCAGTGATTAAAAACATCTCTTGAATAGAAGTAGATCTATGAGTTAAGTCTGTGATAAGCTTTAAAATGAGCAATATGTCCTTTTGATGGAGTTTCAGGGCTGAGTAGGAACTTAAAATGATAAAACAACAAATCAAATCAAAGCCAGATTTCTTACCAGATCACGTCTGTAGGTAGAGTTGTTCAGGTCTTGTAAATCGCCTCTGTTAAACACTGTCTTCTGACACTGGAGGCACCGGCGCACGAGTGAAGGGTGTGTTTCCTTGTGACTGTGACACCGGTGATGATGGCTGAATCCTACCTGTTGCTCAAGAGGGCTGGCCCTTTTTCTTTTTTTGTAGGAGTGTATCATATTGTAATCAGAGCTTTTATGTCGATGACGGCAAGGAATCTGCTGCTTTGTCTGTGAATGTGTGTATAAAGTGGAGCAAGAGACATACAGCATAAAGTTATTTCTGAATAGCAGGTTGCACTTCCACTTTGTTTTTTGGATTTCTTGGCAACTTGTTGTAGACACCAAAATAAAGGCTGACTTTTTTCCCACTGATGAAAAAGAGATTTTGTCAGTCTTCAGGCTTTCCTCTGTCATTTAGTAACTTTTGTCGTTCGCTCTGTAAAATCAACATATCTACAGTAAATGCTGCGTCCAATCATTTTGAAAACAAGTTATTTTGGGTTTTGAGAGGCTTCATTTGCCTGTTATCATAAACACATACACAGCATGGCATGCACACGCAGATCCAGTTAAACTGGTTTGCTGCTCTGGCTGAAAAGAGAAATGAACACAGGTTTTACCAGAGTGAATCGATTCAGGAAAAATGGTGTCCGACGGGTGCAGTGAGAACATAGGTCAAAGTTATTTCACAATATGAAAAAGGAGAAGAAATCACGGCATGTCTCCATTACCTTTTTGGCTCACTATAATCAAGCCATTTTCACACACGCAACGCAACCCTGAACTATTTTTGATGTCACGCACCAGGTTCTTATTACAACGTGATGTCCAGATGTACTAATTTAAGCCGGTGAATTAACGGCGAGTGGTCGCGCTGCCTCTTACTGCCAACACTTTTTACTCACCTGAACTAACATTAGTTCATTATTAAGGACATATGAGAACCTTTAGACAGCCTCATAAATCTGTCCGCAGTTCATCTGTGAGTGACACACTCTTGAGCACTTCAAGAAAAACAATACTAACTCACACTCGCTGGTGTATAACAAGTCTTATTGCTCCTCTTAAAGTTGACGGTTTGTTTATGCACATTGTTTGTTTTCAGTGTATCGTGTTACATCTCTCTAGCTACTTATGAAAAGAACATGGCTATTGATATTCATGGCTGTTTGGGAGGCATTGGGCTATTTATTTAATGAATCACAGTCAGATGTTAGGTTTAATTAACACATTGCTTTCAGGTCATGTTCAGCTCTCCTGTAAGTTTCTTTTTTTCTTCCCATTTAACTTTTCCACTTGTCATAAATTCGAAGGTCCCAGATGCTATCTTGAACTTGTTTTTCTTGAACACAACAGACACGTGCATCATTTATGGTATGAATTCAACAAGCTTTCTTCAGAAGACCAGTGAGGGATACAATGAGTTTTTCTGCTCCTTCTTTTTGTTTTGCCGTGTCACAACATGGATATTTTCCATCCCATGATATGCTAACTTACTGCTCTAAACATTAGGTTATATGTAACCATATGAATGCTGATTAGCTTTTTGGTGAAACACATGAATAAAGCCTCTCCTTCACTGCTGCCACAGACGTCAAGCATGACTGTCGGGACAGTGTTGAGTGTGGAGGGAATTAGACTTGGCAGCAGTCCCTCTGCAGCAGGGTGTCGAACTCCAGGCCTCGAGGGCTGGTGTCCTGAAGGTTTTACATATCACCCTGGGTCAACACACTTGAATCAAATGATTAGTTCATTACCAGATCTTGGAGAACTTCAAGACATGTTGAGGAGGTAATTTAGCCATTTAAATCAGCTGTATTGGATCAAGGACACATCTAAAACCTGCAGCACACCGGCCCTTGAGGCGTGGAGTTTGAATCAAGATCTGTTCAAGATGTGGATGGAGGTCAACATGAAACCGCTGCTGAAATCCATCACCAAGCAGTTCTTGTCCTGTCTCAGCACCAGGAACTTCAGCTGCTCCACCTACCAGACTGTGTATGTCTCTTACTGTCTGCCCAAAGTGGATGTACACATTGTTTATGTACTCGTTCCTGTCTTCGACAAGAGTTGCTGGTAAAGTGTCTTATATAAACAACTGTGACTTACTCTAAACTAGAATTTACTGTCAGTGTGAAACCTGTTATGTTGCACAATCCTCTGAGGTTAACATTGAATCACTTTTTGCTAGTTTTGGTCAAGACTGCGAGCAGTTTCATGTTGTAATTTAACCTAATTTGGTCCTAAATGCTGCTGCAGGTCCAACATCTGCATCTCAAAGTGCATCCATCCATGAATCATGACATTTGGTTGTAAGTACACAGGTTAACCATGAGATGTGGGATTGTGCGTCTCTTAGGTGTGACTAAGAGATCTGTTGTTGACCTACATCACCTGAGTGATCCCTCGGCGTACGGCCTCATGATTACTCCCCAGCCGTTTCTCATCTGACTTACAGTGGTGTCCCCTGCTATCACTTTGTTTTGTTTGCTGGTTCACTTCCCAGTGTTCCCCGGCTCTCTGTACCCTTGAGTTTTTTGATTCATTTTTCATCTGCCAAGCTTCTTCTGTGGTCTCAAGGACATTTGCAAACATTTGTATTTATCCCAATGTTTCCATATTCAAACCCATTATCAGTCTTGATGCTTGTTTTCTTTAAACATCACTTAACTGGTGTTTAGATGCTTTAGAAATTAAGATATTCCTCCTCAGAGAAGCAGAAGCGCTACTAAATAAACCATATTTCAAAATTATTATGATAATGGAATAGGCAACAAACAACAAGGGTCCACAACTCAAGAGAAATATTTATAAATATCACTGTTACGTCACAAAGAGTCACTTCAGGTTAAATGATTTCACTGTGTGCTCAGTGTGGTCACCACGAGCTGGAAGGAGAGCAAATAAAATTGTATTGCAAAAGTTTTGGCTCATGTAACAGTACATGAGTATTTGCTGAATGAATTACCAAAAAGTTTAATTTACTATTATTATTATTATTATTATTATTATTATTATTATTATTATTATTATTATTATTATTATTATATTTCAGTATTTGTATATAACAATACTTATAACAATATAACAAACCGTATATAGGAAATGAGAGAAGGGTTTATTATATCAGCCACCCTTGAAGGTAATAGGATAGGGAGGACATGTGGCATATTTTCTAATTAATATAATGTTGCATGGAGCCTGTAAATATCTCTAAAGTTTTTTGTTGTTGTCTTTTTTAATCTTTTGCAAAGAAAAAAAAGTGTTGGCATATGACAGAGGTGTAAACATAAGGCTCTGGACTGCAACTTAAGAAAATACCAGCAAATAGGAAAATGTTGCAAAAACACACAAAACACAAAGAAAGACAATAATGTGGCAGCTGTGAAGAACTGCCCTCAGGCACGCTTGAAAGAACTGAGCATTTATCTGTGTTGTGGGGAAGAAAAAGATGCAGGTAATGTGTGTTTTAACTGCATGGTTCATTTAAAACTGTATATACATGTTTGGTATTAACCTTCACTGTCCTATGACTGCTCCCTCACAATATTGTCTCACCCAAATCATGTCACAGTTATGTTTTGTGAGTTTTCTTTTTTTGTATGTGTGCTTTTGTGATGTTTTATTTTCTCTTTCTGATGTATTTTATGTGCTTCTGCAACTTTTTAAGTTGGAGTGCATTTGACTTTTCAGAATCGCCCAGAAAACACTTCAATCTGACCCAGACGACAGCTTTGGAAAATGTAAAGGCGGGAATCAATTTTACACATTCACATATATTTTCATAATCTTTACAGCTTGTCCTGATAAAGGAATCCCTTACAGCCATTCATATTACACCAGAAGTAAAGTTATACAGTAGATTTAATTAAATGACAGAAACGTTCCTGTTCTTTCATTATCTAATATAGATAGATTTTTGTTTTCATTTTTATTTATTTATTTTTATTATTATTTCCTAACAATATATCCACAGTAAAATAAATAAATGTGCAAATAAAGTAGGACATTTTCTGGTGATTAACAAAAACGACGACAATGGCTTACCAGAACTTTTTCTCTGATTTTACATGTTTATTTCATACAATTTAATTGTGCTGACAGAATTATTTTATTTATTTATTTTACTTTACATTGGATTTATTTTACATTGGATTTTTTTTTTTTTTTTTTAGCAATTAGAAAAACTCATTTGAAATTGGACTTTTTTTCTTATGTTGAGAAAAAAATATAAGTAAGGCTTCTTCACACTGACAGAAAGGGTATTTTCACTGGTCGGGCCAAGTTAATATTAAAGTACCATGTAAAATGAGTCTGACATCAGTAGAATAAGACAACCAAACAACCTGGATGCACGAGATAAAATAAATATTATCTCAAGTATAAAAGCTACCGGCTCTTATTTCGTTTGGCATCCAAATGAAACGATACTGAATTATACACAGAGTCAGCTGTAGAGGGGAGTACTGCCACCAGGAAACCTAAAGGAAGAAGCGAGCGCTCCTCCGACAGGCGGCGGTAAGCAGGTTTACGTCTGAAGGATTCGTTTCCGGTCGACGAAGAAGAACGTAACCTACGTAATAAACACGGTTTAGCATTTGCACATGTGAGGACAAACTTTGTCTTTTTGCTACTGTTGTTACTGTGTTGCTGTTTTTGTGCTTACTGCGGTTTTAGCAACACTCGTGGCTAACTGTGCCTAACCGCGGCCGGGTCAGCGCGCGAGGGAGAGCGTGAAAAACCCCGGAGGATGCTGCTCGTGTCCTCGTGACCTGTCATCATGTCGCGGTGGTTTAAAACCTGTACGCGGTCTTTTCTGCACAGTTTGGAGGTCCGCAGGGGGTTTCGCTGCCTCACGCAGGACGGAAACAGACGGACGGAGCTCCAGCTGCGTGCAGCAGGCGACAGGTGCTGCTCAACGGTGCAGGGGGAGGTGAGGGTCAGGTTTGCCCCCAGTCCCACAGGTAAGGTCCTTCGGTATCCTGCACGACCTGGTTGTAAACATGTGTTGCACTCATGTGTCACGGTAAATTTAGTTGAAAGAATTATGGAGAAAAAAAACTGTCAACAGCCCCCAAAATCCTTTTAGATGGATATTTTTATGCTTCAGTTTTGT